GGAATGTGCTTTTAGCTCGATTTCGAGTACAGTCGACGTAGCAAGCTTCCCGATTACATCTTGATCCCTGTATTTTAGACTTACTTTTGTACGGAGAACACGTCCTTTATACAACTACATAATATTTTCTTTCCTCTAAAAAATTCTGTAGTAATTCTTTCTGTCAACGATTCGATTTAGAAAATCTACGGTAACTAAAATCGTTAATTATAAAAATGTCAATCTGTGATATATTTATTGATATCTTTCATGTTGACGGTTACCTTACAATGTGATTTTTTTTTTAATTAGAATTCATGCCATTGCATCCATCAAATTCAACATAAGTTGTTAAAAAGTATTATTTACGCGTTCTGCAATTTTAAATATGGAATCAAACATCCGTAAAATAGACAGGTTCCGTAAATCTAGCGTTAAATTCGAGAATATTGCAAAAGTATCGAATTTTAAATCTTAATAACTGGACGAGTGGAAGTTCGATAAATCGAAAACGATTAAAGAGCGAGACAAAGCGTAAGAGTAAAAGTAGACGAGGCGAAACGAGTATCCCCGCGACGAGATCATGAATGAAAAAGATCTATTAACGCGGGGACCGGATCGCGTAGAGCCGAAGACAATAGAAGGGTCGCAGCTGTGAACGAAGAACAACGTCTCCAGACTTTGAAAGAGACTGTGAAAGCTGTCGCCAAGGTTACACGGTGCTCCGTACTAATCACTCCTCCGCGACAAACTAAAAAGACAAACGGAACAAAGAGTCGCTTAGTTATGAATTGGAATGTCCCCGAGTACGCGTCGCAGCCGCCGACTGTCGTCTATTTCGTTGGCCGCGGAAACGGTAAAGCGCGTGCAGCCGACAGAGATACAAGCGGACGATGTAAATCGCGCCCGGGGTTTACGCGTTCTCGAAACAGGAAGCGGAAAAGGGGAGTGGAGGACGGCGGGGAAAAATAAAAATAAGCGTAGACAAAAAGATGTTCGAGGGGGTGCTAAACTACGCGAAATACGGTAAGCAGCCGCGGCACATGGCTACCGTTCTCGCTGCTCGACGATAGAAAAAACTGTACCGGGGCTGTGAAACGTCTTTTTTGCCGGAGGGCAGGAAACGACGAGAGGTTCAACGATCGCCCCCGGCGAGGAGTACATTTTGGGTCTTTTTTTCGGGGCGCCGGTTGACCTTACGTATTAAGGGGCGAGAGTTCGAATCATTCGTTAAGCCGCGCGTTTACGTGGATCATGACACTTCCACGGCTCGCAATTTTCCGCGCGCTTTTTCTTTCCGCCGTGGCCGCTATTTGCTCTTAATTAACGGCGAACCCCGCGCCGGTTTTCCTTCCCCGACGAAATGCAACGTAGTACGTCCGCTCGTTCCGCTGCCCGTTTACCGGACCGATCGTTACGTTTCCACCGATCCAAGATTAGGGCAGCTAATTGCCGCGCGGTTCCCTCCGTTCGAATATTCCAACGGTTCGGTGGATTCGAACGTTCCCGTTATCTTGGCGTATTCTTCGCGGCGCCGGTTCGGGACCTCGGGTCGCCGACTTAACCTTTAATTACTCGCGCGGGCAGGTCATTGCAATCTCCGAGTATTGTACGTGTAAATCGCGCCTGGTGATGTCAACTTCCGGTGCGGCTGCCTAAATCCACCATTGTGGAACCATTATGTATGTCTAAAACGTTCTTGAGAACTGTGTAATACTTGATACAAATTGATAGTTAGAAAGTCTTATGATAGTCACTTTTTGTAGGTTTTTCGTTCCCTTAATATGTGTTTATGAATAATAATAATTTTAAAAAATGTTTTAAATAAATCTCGGAGAGAATTAAATTCTGTGTAAAATGATACACGAGTATCATTAGATACGCAACTCTATCTCCTCTGCGAGAGAAAAATCTGAATAAAATATGTGTTTCCTCTCGTTCTTTCAGCAAGTAATAACTCTGATACGAAGTTTTATTTTTGGCTATAGAATTAACTCCTGGAGGGATTAACATTATTAAACATTCTCTATATATACTGTTGCAATAGGGGATGCTGATGTCGATATCTTTGGAAGATAATATCGTGATAAGACTTTGAATAAGCATAATTTCGATTCTCAAGTTGAATCCACATAAGACTAAGCAACGGGTGATTTCACGTGTAAAAATATGTAGGAAAGTAAAGAAAGTTTCCCAGAAAATTGATTTTGAAAAATGATCTGGTAAACGTACAATAGAATACGACTTGGACGTCAGCGCAAGTAGAAATAATGATTAATGGTCAGACGCGCCAGGCAAATCTTCGAACTCGATTGTCTCGAAAACGAAGTCTCCAAGGGAAGAAAATCATTTCTTATCTTTCGACCATCTCGACACGTAAACTTTTATAAATATTTTTACCCCTCAAGTATTTTTTATTTACCCAAAAAATGATTCCTCAAAAGTCCATTCATTTTTCAATATTATTCTCTCCCTTGTGCATCTATAATTACTTTATATTGAATTTTCACTGATTCTAGACTACCAAGACTGAATCTATATTCCATATTAATTACTGAAGCTGATTTTCAAAATATTTCTGCCTTTTTTTAAACCATTATTCACTAAAAAAACGCATAAGACAATCCTGTCGATAATAAAATCGGTTGTTTCAATTACTTTCTGGGAAATGGAACACTATTTTCTCTCATCTGTCCGATTAATGATTTACACTACTTTCCTTAGGGCTGGAACTACTTTTCCCAATCAAACAACATTCAAATACAAATATCCAGATGCTTAATGGTTACGCAGCAATTTTGGAATACTCGAACAGTATTTCCAGCATTCGAATACCCGCAAAGTATGTGAATATTAAATTATTCGAGCAGAGCCCCATCCCTGTTTAGGATACGCTCGATTTTGTCAAACGTGTTTCTTTGTGTCGCGCGCGCTGTAACGCGCGTATTAATTCGATGAAACGCACGTTCCCTGCACGTTTCGAATATGAATCGTGTATGGTTGGCGAACATAGCACGTAATACGTTACGCGAAAAACAATTGCGGCCTGATGTTTTGATGCGGAGGGTAGGATGTTCGTTGCGAGGCAAGTGTAAACCGCGGCGGTATAAATAGGAATTTTTAGCCCTGTTTTACACGCTAGCCCATTGAAGCGTTGTCGAATTGGTTTAGGTGCGATAGACATTCACGGGTGGTGTGTCAAAAATTTGTTTTTTAGCTGTCGATACGCGTTATCGTGCACGGCCCGCGCGCGTACTCGGTACTCGCGAGTTATAGGCGACTTTTCACTGGGAACGAAAGTGTTCCGCTTGTTACGACAAAAAATAGACGTCCCTAACGCGAACAACATCTTCAAAGTTCGGTCTTACGATTACAATAACGATCACAATGTCGTGCTTGCGTTTCTTGTGTCGCGTTCCGTGGTTCGGAAAAAGTGGAGATCTTGAAACATTTAATGCTAGAGTTTATTTATGCGAGATCCCAACGTGGACGCAGGTTACGAGCCCTAATGGTTCAAGGTATGCGAAGATCGATCCTGAAACACGTAGTACTAGAGTCTATCTACTCTAATAAGAAGTTATTCTGACGTAAGCCCACGTTGAGGAAGGGAGAAGACACTGGAATGTGTAATACCATTTATTTATGTAGAAATTGAACCTGTACCAACGTGGGGTTACACATTTTAATGGTCAACGAAAAGAAAACATCGGTCTTGGAATACCCTTGGAATACCTCGAGTTTATTTACTTACGCGAGAACCTATCTAGCGCTGTTTATTTGCCTGGGCAAGGATATTTGCTTGTTTCGATGTGAGCCTAGCTTAAAGATCCTAACGCTCAGAGAAAATAGACCGTTTAGGAAACACACGATTCCAGAATTTATTCATATGTTTATAAAAAAGGGGATAAAACTATCAGTTTTATGATTCTAGTATTTCTTGGACCACCGTACGATTTATGTTAAAAATTTATGTTTGTTTAAATCACCAAGAACCTAACACTAACGATCCAAGAAAAATCTGTGCCGGAGCACCTTAATCTTTCTCGTGTTTATTTACTGGAACAAGTACCTGTAATAACGTAGACACATGTTACAGGGCCTAATGATCCAGGAAAGGAAGATCGATCCTGGAACATCGATCACCGCGCGAGAGCAGGACCCGGGGTCATTCTTTCTCGGGACGGCGAACACAGCAGATTTTAGAAAGCGATTTGTTGTACTAATATACGAGACACGTTCGTGAAATTTCGATCCCCAACACTTGTACTTTTTCTCTTTTATCGTTCGACCGTGAAAGCCTCCAAAACAGTTGCAAATTTGTGCATGCGATACGCTAACTTTAATTTCTATTAATAATAGCCTCTATATTTGGCCTTTTATCTAAACATCTCTCGTGGTGGTAATTTTTAAACGTATTTTTACCCTAACGATATTTCATTAAATAAAATGGAAAATGAAATTTTAATTTACTTCCTTCCTTCGTAATCGTTCGATTACACATGCGACGATCGAGATTTTTTATTTTCACCGCCTATCACGACCGACGCATACATTCCCTTTTATGCGTTTTCATCACGCTATTAAAACTGCACGAATATCTTAAAACAATCTCTCACGTGGCGATTAATAACAGCTCTAACGCTACGTTATCATGCGCTGATAGATCGTTGATCCACGTCAATCAATCCGCCCCCGAGCAACGGTGTCTATTAAATACAACGACGTCCAACAATTTACAGGTAATATCTCTCTCTCCAACAAAAAAAAAAAAAAAAACCGAGATAAAGTTTAGTATTATCGTACGAACAAATGCGAAATGATCATCGTTTAAAATAAATCCACGTCGAACGAATTTAATCCTGTGTCGCTCGCGTGACTCCGTAGCACGGAATTACTCGCGCGGTACGGCTCCACGCACCGACGAAACACGGACCTATTTACACTCTCGTTCCTGCCAAAATTAACAATCAAAATAAACTCATTTCCAAAAAAGAAAAAAACGAACTTGATTCGCAACTTACCCTGTCGATGGTTCGCAGCGCGGTCAGCATCGTGTCCACTCGCGTGTCCCATGCTGTCGAATCCAAGAAACATCAACAGAAACGTCAGCAAACCGATCATCGAGATCGTCCTCGATGCGTGAACGGCACGACCGGTCATTCCTGCTTGTCGTTTCATTAGACGATGATCGACCCGGATAAGTGAAACGTCGTGAAACTCGTGGTGCAAGCACACGTTACTCTCGCGGGATGATTATCAGCGTTCGATTTCTCGTTTCTATCGCAGATCTGTCTTCGATTAACGCACCTGATGCCGCTCGGAGCGCCTTCTGCGTGCGAGGCACGTGCTCCGAGCAGTCCCCGGCCAAACGACTGCGTTCATCTCCGCTTCTTGTTCCTCTTCGGCCTCTTCTTCCCTTACCGCTGATCGGCTGCGTTCTCCTCCCCCTCTCCGCTCTGGTAACGTTAACGATCACACAAGCGTGGAATCTCTATCGGGATGCCTCTCTCCGTGAATGCACTGGCTCCGCGCGAACGTCCCCGAAGACCGATCCTCGTCACCGTTTTGCAAAGTCCGGCCTCGAGTTCGGGCCAACAAAAAAAAAATACCCCGTTCCAAAGTCCGTGGAACTTTCAAGGGCAACCGACACTCGAAAATACGTAACTCGCACGTATCGATAGGAAGAGGGTCCACGACGAGCTCTCACCCCCCGAGGCTGGTCCTGGTCCCTCTGTCCCGGGCCGTAGACTGTCTGCTGCCTGGAAATCCTCGGTGTACGGAGTATGCTCCTGCTTTCACCTCCACCTCCACCGTCCATCTACAACCCCACCTCCGAAGGCACCACTTCCACCCACCGCCACTCGCCGCCGATAAACTTCCTACGGGCACCCTCCGACATCCACCTCCCTCGCTTCTCTCTACCCTCTGCCGCCTGCAGCCCGCACCAGGAACCGTCTACCGGTCGGCGCTTGCGCCTAGCGAACTGTGCCCTGATGCCCGGGCATTGCTGCTGCCACTGCTGGTACCTCTGCTGCTTTCTCGTACCTTCACAAATCTCTCCTCCTCCGCCCCAACCATCGCTTCGACCACCCCCTAAAAGGGGGCTGCCTCTTTCTCTCTATCCGATGGATCTCTTTCTCTTGCTCTCTGCGCGCTCTCGGGGTTCTTCTTCGCCATCCCCCTTTTTCTTCCTTCGTTTCTTTCTCTGTCGGTGTGTGTCTATGCCTCGACTCACCATCCCCGCCGCCCCCACCGTCGACCCTCCCCCTCGCGCTCACCCCCGCGCGTTCTCGTCTTTCTCCTTCCTAAGCTACGTAGGTGGAAGCCTTCTTCCCTAGCCTTCGTCTCTCCTCGAACTCGTGCTGTTTGAGTTCCTGTTTCTTTCTTCGTTACAGCTGCTCGGTCGACCGGCTCTCGCCGCATCCCTGTTACCTGCTGGATGTCCCTGGTACCAGGTAACGAGTTTCGTTCCAGCGACTTCCGGGCCATCGTAATCGCTGACATGGCGTGCCTATGATACCCGGTTAATTTTCATCGCGTCACGTACAAAAGCAGAGGATACGTTTCGGGCTCCAGTCCTGGCTAGAAACGAAAGAGGAATATAGAGAGATCGTATGTTTGTGCGTTTATGGGGAATTTTTATTCGAGAAAAACTAGAGAATGCTGTTAATCCGTCCCATAAAATGACGAGTCCGGCATGTCGCAAGTTCTTTATATTTAATATTCTATATATTAAAATCAATACATTTTTACGTTCACGAGGTTTTCGCGGAACGAATCTTTTTCGTGGCCATTCTACGAACAAATTTAAACAAAATCGAATAGTTTGAAGTATTATTTGGAATCGAATCGTTCGTCAAAGGGTTAATATACAAAAATATAAGAATTATTACCCTCTACAAAGCAATTAATTCTATTAATCTATGAATTTGCTTAAAAATTAAGAGGATTACTATTAACTTCCTTTGTTCTACCGATATACAAAATTATCGAGTAATTTGAAATATCAGAAATCTCAGTAACGAATTGCCTGGTCTGTGTAAATGTAATAAAAGGAGAATTAGAGAATGTTTTTTCTTTTCATTTATGATATACGTAACTTTGAACGTCGGAAATTATTGACGAGTCAATTTATCTTTCCTGGAAAATGTATCAATCCACACGTTACCGAATCAACGGTATCGCGTATCGAAAATTTACATTTCATGAATTCGATAATTTCCGGGTAGGGATCCACGGAAGAAAAATTTTAAACAATTTAGAAACAAATTGTTTGTCGATCTTTTCGTACGAACGCAGAGAAGGACGCGAAGCTAAAAAAAGGAGGGGAACGATCGCGAAAATATGCGTGAAAGTAGAAAAGGGAACAATTTGTTTTTAATTTACGGATACGTGTAATTGTCATTTCAAACGTCGAAAATTGTTAACAAACCAATTTAGTTTTTCTAAAGGATTTAATATTCGACGTGCCGTGTCTGCGTGTCGTTTATCTGTACAAGTAATTTTAACATCGACGCGACTAATTGTTTACGAGAATTGAAGATGACTTCAAAGTTCCGCGAAAATTTGTGCTATCGCTTTGTGCGGCGGCGTTTTACGATATAAGAGTAATTAATTGCTCATTGAGTGCGAATCCAGTAAAGGTAACAAACAAATTAGAGAAACAACGTCGGTTTAAATATTTCGAACTTGAACCGTTTGGGGCCATTTCAACGTTATTAAGGTTAAAGAAAGAAAACAGAAGAAAAAAAATCAGCCTACGTCTGATAATTACATTAAATATATTTCCTTGACATAGCTAACCTCGATCATACCTATTTCTGATTCTGAACTAAATTTATTTCCTTACAACATATAGAGACCCAATTCTAACAACGTCTGTTCTAACTTTAAATTTATTTTAGAAAGGAGTTGCAAAACGTTGTTCATTATTTAAAGTGTCATTGTGTTGACGAGGTATTTATAAATTTTTCCATTGAGAGAAAGATCCTATGCAAGAAGGCGTGATTAAATATAAAAATGCTTATTAATCGACGTCCCAAGTAGGACGATCGTAATTGTCTTTTGTTATATCGTTGATCAATCTCTGTCCTTTTCTCTGCGGCGTCGCGGTTAGATAGCCTGTTCTGTTTCTAGACACGAGATAACGAGTTTCGTTGCGACAATTCCACGCATCCAGGAGAAGATCACGACCTACTGCTAGGAAGCTACGCGACGAGTACGAAGAAGGTAAGTCGGAGCGGTCTGGGTTGACATTATGAGAATACGGGAGGCGGAATTTAGAATGATGGAAGTGATTGTTCGAAAATTACGAGGTACGATCCCCTGCCCTCGTTAGTAAGTTCAAAAGTCCACGATATGTAACACGAGCTACGAAGGGAGGATAATTGACCTTGAGTTACCTCGATAAGGGGTATTCTGCTTAGTTATTTGAACGACGCTCTTAACGTAACTATTGCAGACGTTCCTCCGAGACCATCCGTGTAAACGTTTATTCAAATTCTTGTTTCTCGCCAATATACGTTTAAATAGTTTTTAAAAACAGATTGGATACATTTTTACCCGAAACGGATGCATTAAAACATGTCTGAAATAAGCTTGGAACGTGTACGGAATATACATTCGTGGAATGTGCGTTGGAAATTTCAAAAATAGTATAATGACATTTTCCATATTTAACACAGATAAAAAATATAGATATCGGTTTAAGTTAAGATATCTCTGAGAAAAGAAATAGTCGAGTTTTAAAGCTTGAAACTTCTTTAATATAAATTGAACATGTACGGAATATACGTATATGGAATGAGCGTTGGAAATTTCAAAAATAGTATAATGACCTTTTCCATGTTTAACACACATAAAAAATATAGATATCACTTTAAATTAAGATATCTCTGAGAAAAGAAATAGATCGAGTTTTAAAGCTTGATACTCCTTTAATATAAATTGAAGACAAAATTGTTTTAATTCCGTAAATAAGCTCAAAGTTGCGGTTTTAAACGATTTGGTACGATCCGCCTGGGAAAACATCGTCCGAGAAATTACTCAATAGGATTAGTAATCCGAGGCTTCGAGCTTTCAAATGTTATTTTGTAATGGTTATTTTTTGTACAAATTTCTAACTTCGTTATTTTTCAGGCAATTATATCCTTTAATTTATGGGAAAAATTACATTCCCACTTTTCTTATGGTTCGTAATGATTTATATTCTCGGGACTGAAGTCTGCAAGCAATCTTAAGAATCGATCCCACGGATGTTCAGTGAGTTTTAAATCGAGAAATTGCCAATCGAAGTATTTGAAATTCGGGCTTCCACTACCATTATTTTGTTATCTTTAAAATTAAATATTTCCTACATTATTTTATAATATATTAACGCTGGGTAGTATTCATATATTATGAATATTATTTCACCCATCATACAACCCGAATAATATTTTTTGCCATAATTATAAGAGTTGTAGAGAAGTACCTCGCGTGTAATATTTCGTTTGACCCTTTTCAAACCCATGTTTTGACGTCCAAATATTTCAACTCGGCTTCCATCGGACCAAAATTCCTCTGTACAATTTTCATACTTTTTTTGCCAATTTTAATCACCAATGCATTCTTCCGTAAATGGTAGTTCTTTGACTAAGCTTCGATCTTTTCGTTCCAGCTTTCCTTAACATCCGCTGAACTTTTGTTTGTTTGCAAAACAGCTTTATGCGGTGAACCTCGCCCTTTCATCCTGCTTGGTATACCTCTCTATGTAAATTTTACTCTTTTTGTTTCTATTTGCTTAATAAAGTTGTTAAAAAAAAAATTCCTTCTACTTAATATGCAAATTATTAAAAGCTCTTAGAGCTCTCTATATCAGCGCAGAATTATCAGCTCTAAGAAATTCATTTCTGCATTTTATAAATTAAAACAATTAAATTGGTCGATTCTATTTCAAAGATATTAAGCGTTCTATTCGATAGAACTAATTGAAAGGAGCAACTTTTATTCGGAAAATTTGTTGTCTATCTTTTAGAAATTTGCAAAACAAGTGTTTTCATGCTCACGCGAGATATTGTTTTACAATCGAAAAGAGGATGGCCCATCCTAGGAGAATACGTCGAGTGAAATATGTTTTATGAACGTACGTAAGTTGTGCGTATCATATTTTCCGAGTTATAGAAAATTGAAGGAAACACTCGGTGCCCGTCTTTTGCTTCAGTGCCTGATAGAATCACCATCTTTACCTCATCCAATATTTACAAACAATCTTGTTATCTTTGAGGTATAGCATCAGACAGTCCGCGTACGCGCCAATCTAACGGTGTTCTAGAATTGATGAAACGACTAAATAAACTTATAGCGAAATGGTGGACATATATTTAATGTATGGCGTCGTCTATACCAGGAGTGTTCTACGAGTCGTAGTGGTTTCGAACCGTACAGCCTTTCTTCTATCGATTGATACCTCGGAGAACTTGGTAATTCAACTTCCGAATTAAAGTTCGAATTAATAGAATATTTTATAGACATTGGGAATACTTCAAATAATCGAGTATCTCAATATTATTATTATCATCGTTGTTTCACGTTTCCCATCTATGCGGTTTAGAAGTGAAATTTTAATCTTATCAAATGTGAAAATTTAACTGATAAATAATATGTCGCGCTGCTGGCTAAGGTTAGAATCTTGGAATCATCAGTAAAAGGCTTTCTAACAGGCCCTGCCTTAGACGACTGGAATATTGTCGAGCGCTTGTGAGAGCGCGAGCCCTCTGGTGGCGAGCATGGGAA